CAAGCCAAATCCTACTCTGCTACTCCTTTGCCCCTGGAATCGGCCTCCAAACATCCCAAATCTAACCAAAAGCAATGCAACCAAATCAATATAGTCCAAGGAATCAATTCTAAACGAAAAACTATCAATTCAAACCAAAATCCTGAAATTCACCCAAACCCGTCCCCCCTGGGCCTACGTCTCGAAATCCGACAAAAATCACAAAACTAGAAACTCCTTTCACTCCTGAGACTATACGTACCAAAATCATCAAAATCCGACCTTAAATGGCCCCTTGAATCTTCAATCAAAACTTTCCAAAACTCAAGCTCTAACCTTTCAGCTTCACCCCAAATCCCCCACTAATTTCATGATTAAACAGAGGAAAATCATCACAAACACAAATAGTAAAGACCAAGTAACATACCTCACTGATACCCCTCGATTCCCTCTTGAAATCGCTGCTTTAAGCTCCAAACTCGTCCAAAAATGGTGAAGAATGGGCAAAAATTCGCGAAGGGTGGCTTTTATAGTTTTTGCCCAGGAGACTCGCACATGCGGTCCAAATGAGTGCACCTACGCTACCGCATCTGTGGTCCATCAAATGCACCTGCGGATTCCACTTACCCTCAACTTCCGCATCTGCGGCTACACACACGCACCTGCAGCCTTGCTGGTGCGATAAAACCACCGCACCTACGATCAAGCTCTAACTGGTCCAAAACCACATCTGCGGCCTTTCTCACGCATCTGCGACCTCGCATCTGCGGCCCCCAATCAGCAGGTGCGGAAATAACAAAAGCAGCAAATTCCTGTTGCGCCAACTCAATTCCAACTCTTTTGTCAACCATCCAAATTCATCCTGAGGCTCTCGGGACCTCAACCAAAAGCACCAACAAGTCATATACCACTATTCAAAATTATTCAAACCTTCGGAACACTCCAAACAACATCGAAACACTAAATCACCCTCGGATTCAAGCCTAAGAACTTCTAAACTTCGGAATTCCGCAAACGATGCCGAAACCCATCAAACCTCGTCTGAATGACCTGAAATTTTGCACACACATCACAAATGACACTACGAACCTACTCTAATTCCCAAATTTTCATTCCAACCCCGATATCAAAATTTCCACTGTCGACCGAGAAATGCCAATTTTTCAATTTCGCCAATTCAAGCCTAAATATACCACAGACCTCCAAATTATATTTCGAACACGCTTCTAAGTTCAAAATCATCTAACGGAGCTAACCAAACCGTCAGAATTCACATCCGAGATCATCTACTCATAAGTCAACATCCGGTTGACTTTTCCAACTTAACTTCAAAATAGGAGACTCAGTGTCGCATTCCTTTCCAAAACCACTCCGAACCCAAACCAACCAACCTGATACCACACAATACAACTGAATAACACATAAAGAAGTAAAAATAGGGAAACGAGGCTATAACTCATGAAACAACCGGCTGGGTCATTACATCCCCCCTCTTAAACAAACGTTCGTCCTCGAACGAGTCTAGAAACTTACCTAAAGCCTCAAACAGGTGTGGATATCTGCTCCGCATATCCCGCTTGATCTCCCAAGTAGCCTCCTCCATGAGCCGACCTCTCCACTACACTTTCACTGACGCTATATCCTTTCATCTCAACTTTCAAACTTGCCGCTCCAAAATAGCCACTGGCTTTATGTCATAAGTCAAATCACCGTCTAACTGAACTGTGCTGAAATACAAAACATGAGACGGATCACCAATGTACTTCTGGAGCATAGAAACATGAAATACCGGATACACCCCCGGCAAGCTAGGTGGCAACGCAACCTCATAAGCCACCTCCCCAATCCTCCAAAGCACCTCAAAAGGCTGAACCGAGGGCTCAATTTGCGCTTCTTCCCAAATCTCATAACATCCTTCATGGGTGAAACCTTCAGTAGAACCTTCTCCCCGACCATGTAAGACACATCACGAACCTTCCTGTCAGCATAACTCTTTTGTCTCGACTGCGCTGCACGAAGTCGCTCCTGAATCACTTTCACATTGTTCAAAGAATCCTATACCAAGTCTGTACCCGAAAGCCTAGCCTCGCTCGGCTCAAACCAACCTACTGGATATCTACATCGCCTCCCATATAAAGCCTCATAGGGAGCTATCTGAATACTTGACTGATAACTATTATTGTAAGCAAACTCCGCGAGCGGTAGAAACTGGTCCCATGAACCCCCAAAATCAATGATACAAGTGAGCAATATGTCCTCCAATATCTAAATAGTGTACTCGGACTGCCTGTCTATCTAAGGGTGAAAAGCTATGCTCGACTCAACATGAGTACCCAACTCTCGCTGCACGACCCTCTAAAACTGCGATGTGAACTGAGTACCTCTATCTGAAATGATAGAAACTGGGACACCATGCAGGCGAATAATCTCTCAGATATAAATCTTAGTTAGTCGCTCTGAAGGATAGGTAGTACACACATGAATGAAGTGCGCGGACTTGGTTTGCCGGTCTACAATCACCCAAATAGCATCGAACTTTCTCAAAGTTCGTGGGAGTTTAACTACAAAATCCATGGTGATCCGCTCCTACTTCCACTCTGGAATATCCATCTGCTGAAGTAAGCCACCCGGTCTTTGATGCTCATATTTCACTTGCTGACAATTGAGACACCGAGCTACAAATCCTACTATATCCTTCTTCATTCTCCTCCACCAATAATGCTATCTCATATCCTGGTACATCTTCGCAGCACCCGGATGGATGGAATACCACGAGCTATGGACCTCCTCAAGAATCAACTCCCGAAGCCCATCTACATTGGGCACACATATCCGACCCTACATCCTTAATATGCCATCATCACCAATAGTCACATCTCTGGCATCGCCGTGGTGAACTTTGTCCTTGAGGACAAGCAAATGAGGATCATCATACTGGCGTTCTCTGATACGATAAAACAAAGAAGACCGAGAAACCACACAAGCTAAGATCCGACTGGGCTCCAAAATATCTAACCTCACAAACTTATTGGCCAAGGCCTTAACATCAACGGCAAGAGGTCTCTCACCAGTAGGAATAAAACTGCCCATACTCACTGCCTTCCAACTCAAGGCATCGGCCACTACATTGGCCTTTCCCAGATGGTACAAAATAGTAATGTCATAATCCTTTAGTAGCTCCAACCATCTCTGCTACCTCAAATTGAGATCCTTCTGCTTGAACAAGTGCTGGAGGCTACGATGATCCGTAAATACCTCACAAGACATACCATAGAGATAATGCCTCCAAATCTTCACCGCGTGAACAATGGCAGCCAACTCCAAATCATGAACAAGGAAGTTCTTCTCATGGGGCTTCAATTGACGAGAAGCATAAGCAATCACTCTACCCTTCTGCATCAACACACAACCGATGCCAACTCTAGAAGCATCACAATATACCGTATAAGAACTTGAAGTTGATGGCAAAACTAACACTGGAGCTATGGTCAAGGCAGTCTTAAGCTTCTAAAAGCCTGCCCCACACTCATCCGACTACCTGAAAAGAGCACCCTTTTGAGTTAATTTGGTCAAGGGTGATGCTATAGATAAAAATCTCTGAATGAACCGACAGTAATAACCCGCCAAACCAAGAAAGCAACGAATCTCTATGGTTGAGGACGGTTTGGGCCAACTCTGAACCGCCTTTATCTTCTTTGGATCAACCTGAATACCCTCACTGGACACCACATGCCCCAAGAACGCCACTGAACTAAGTCAAAACTCACACTTGGAGAACTTTGCATAAAGCTTCTCCTCACTCAACCGCTGCAATACAACTCTCAAATGCTCAGCGTGATCCTCCTGACTATGCGAGTACACTGGAATATCATCAATGAATACAATAATAAAAAAGTCAAGATAAGGCCGAAATACATTGTTCATCAAATGCATGAACGTTGATGGGACATTGGTCATCCCAAAAGACATCACAAGGAACTCATAATGACTATATCGGGTCTTGAAAGTTGTCTTAAAAATGTCCAAGTCTCTAATCTTCAACTGGTGATACCCTGACCGGAGATCAATCTTGGAGAACACTTTCGCTCCCTGAAGCTGGTCAAATAAATCATTAATACGAGGCAATGGGTATTTGTTCTTGATTGTCACTTTGTTGAACTGTCTGTAATCAATGCACATCCTCATAGTTGTAGACATGTAATTTTTTACCATCCCCAAATTTTTTTATATTTTACCGTAAATATTTAGTTTAGGTTTAGTATCGTTCTCTTTACTTTGTTTTATCTAAAGTTACAAAAATATTTTTCCTCATCCTAGCTAGTTGATATTTTGTCTAGTTAGTTTTATTTTTGAAAAAAATACAAAAATAGTCTCGCCAGTTTATTTTCCAAAAAAGATAAAAAGGAAAAGTTCAAAAAATATTTTACATTTTAGTATATATTGAGTAGTATTTAAATTTCATTAATATAGTAATTATAAAGCTAATTCATCTTTAGAATAAAAGAAAATAAATGAAAAAAAAAGAACCAAAGATATTTGGCAACGTGGAAGATTCTGTATTATTTTGGTAACAAACTTTCACATGGCTTCAAAAATACTCCCCACGTCACACATGCACTGATTCTCTAATCTTTCCAAAATACATATGCACATGAATTCCTTTCAAAACAGATTTTACTCTCCACTCACCATTATTTTGGGGTCCATACATTTTGGAATTTTCTGGTTTCTCTTTAAAATATACATTAACTTATATAGAAATGGTCGGCAAATTTTTAGGGAAAAAAGGGAAGAGGTTTAAAAAGGCAAAAATAAGAAAGAAAGTGGTCCCCATTTTTCTCCAAAATCACATGCCACCTAACAAATTTGATTCATTTGGATCACTTTGTTAATTTTGTTATTTTCCTGTGGAGGGGACCACACATTTTTAATATTGGTTTTCTTGTTCTACAAGCCCATTAATTTTGGGGGAAGTTCTATATAACAAAGGATAAATACACAAAAGAGGGGGCAGACAGATATAGAAGAACGGTTGGAAAGAAACGAGAGAAAAAATCTGGGGAAAAAGTAGAGAGGTCAGCGATACCACCCACAAAACTCCATCTTCTTCTTTTAAAAAAGTAGTAGCGACAGAATGGGTAGAAACGGAGGAAGGAAAATCTTTTCACTGTCCTAAGTCTTGCATTCTTTTTCTTCTTATGCAAATCTTCTGATACTTCTTCTATTAATAGTCACACTAACCAATATAATTAAAAAGACTCACCACCAAAAGAGAAAAAGGAGAAGAACACAGACTGTCTTCTTCTTCTTCTTAAAAGCTCCTTCATTTTCCCATTAAAACCAGCAGCCCAACCTCATGTCAAAAACTAGTCCCGGACAACCCTCAAAATCCACAAACACCTCCCAAACCCAGGAAAAACAGCTGCCAAAATCACCTGAAAACAGTCCCCTTCTCGATAAATAGCAACTCCAAAAGTTGAGTTCGTCGCGTCAAGGTCGCCGACTTGGTTTTCAGTTCGAGGCGTAATTTAGTCCAGATCTTATCGTCAGTTTCTTGTGTTTTTGCTCCTTTCAAATCATTCACTGTATAAATCTTTGGGATAAAAGTGTTGGATTATAATGAAGAAAGCTTCTCGCTATAAGGTTCACTTTTCTTTTCTCTCCTGTATATTTTGTTTGCTTGTTTTTTCTGTTTTGCTCAGTGATACATGATATTTTGCTTGGTTAATGTCCTTTTACTGCATTTCGATCTCCATTAGTGTTCATCTATAATTGACTCTTTATAGCTTTGGTTTTTCGTTAGTGTGGATTAAGAGAACATTCAAGTGAGCTTTAAATCGTGTTTAATGGATGTTGATTTTGAAACTTCCGATTTCATGATAACAATGTTTCGTAAATCATGCCTTAGCATTTTTCCATGTTTTGTAGGTCCTTATTTGGTTATTTTATTATTTACGTTAGTGAGAATGTAGTTCTACCTCAAGTATTTTGTAAGATGGAATGTTAGTAATTATTAAGTTATGATTTTTAATAACTCTATAGAAAAAGTGTTTCTCTTAATGACAATAATAGTTGTATCATACTTCTTTCACTAAAATCTCCTATTCATAATTCACAAATTTGCAATAATCTAAAGTAGGAAAAATAATTCAATGAATATCGTATTTTGCTTTAGGCGCAATTAATAAATCATTGTGGCTATGGGTACGGTTTCCGTGGCATGGTCTGATACATAATCCTCAATTCGGGTGTGCATTTCATGTGACCTGACCACAACTTCGAATTAATAATAAAATAAACGTATCGCGAATCATGGATGCATTTCATGTAGCGTGGTTTGCGGTGTGTTCCAAAACGGCAAGTGTACGACAATCGTACTTGTTCAAGAAATAATTCCATAAATCATAAAAAAAGCGGTTAAATAATTAAAAGCGGCTAAAAGGTTAAAAATGCACAATAGGTTTAAAGCATGCAAAATCAGGTAATTAGGCCAATTTTAATAGTTTAAGTGACCGTGCTAGAACTACGGAACCCGGGAATGCCTAACACCTTCTCCTGAGTTAACAGAATTCCTTACCCGGATTTTTGTGTTCGTGGACTATAAAACAGAGTCAATCTTTCCTCAATTCGGGATTTGAACCGGTAACTTGGGACACCATAAATTATCCCAAGTGACAACTCTGAACAAACAAAATAATCCCGTTTCGATTGTCACTTAAATTGGACAAACTCTCGTACCCCCTTCCGGGGGTGGAAAAAGGAGGTGTGACAATAGTGTCATCATTCTTCTTCATAAATAGGACAAGCGTACCCCACAGTGACACACTAGGCCGAATAAACCCCTTATCAAGAAGTTCCTGAAGCTGCTCCTTCAATTCCTTCAACTCCGTCGGTGCCATACGATGTGGTGGAATAGAAATGGGCTGAGTGTCAGGCACCAAATCAATACCAAATTCAATATCCCTATCCGGTGGCATGCCCGGCAAGTATGCAGAAACACATCCAGAAAGTCCTTCACTACCGGGACTGAATCGATACTAGGAGTCTCTGCACTGACATCCCTCAAAAAGGCCAAATAAGAAAGACAACCCTTTCTAACCATCTGTTGGGCCTTCAAGTAAGAAATCACCCTGCTGGGGACATAATCCTTCGAACGTCACCACTTAATCTGTGGCACCCCCGGCATAGCCAACGTCATTGTCTTAGCATGACAGTCTAAAATAGCACGACACAGAGATAACCAATCCATGCTCAATATGACATCAAAATCAACCATACTAAGCAACAAGAGGTCCACTCGGGTATCTAAACCCCCAATAGTCACCACACACGACAGATATACGTGGTCCACAATAATAGTATCGCCCACCAGAGTAGATACACGAACAGAGGAAATAAGAGACTTGCGGGGCGTATCCAAATAATGAGCAAAATATGATGACACATATAAAAAAGTGGAACCAGGGTCAAATAATACAGAGGCATCTCTGAGGCAGACTAAGACAATACCTGTAATCATAGCATCTGAAGCAATAGCATCTGGTTTGGCTAGGAGTGCATAGAAACGGACCTGACCACCACCTGATCGACCTCCCCCTGTAGGGCGACCCCTAGCTGACTGACCTCCATCCCGAGCTGGTTGGGCGGGTGGGGAAGTAACTGGTGCTGAAGCTGAAGGCTGACTTCTCTGCCGGGATGAACCTCTCATAAGACGGGGACAGAATCTCTTGATATGAGCCAAATCTCAACACTCAAAGCAACCTCTCCCAAAAAATGGCGGTGGGGACTTAAGGGAGCCCCGAGCACCGGGATACCCGCTAGAAGAACCAGGCATAGATGAACCCTGAACTGAGGGTGCATGAGTCAAACTCTTAGCTGGAAAGGCACTGAGAGATGAGTGACATTGATGTGAACTGTGAGAACTATGGCCAGATGATCCACCACGGTGACCCGAACGAGCTGGTTGAGCATGTCTGAATGGACGACCTCTACCTTGCTGGAACTGACCTCCAGAAGGAAAACCACCAAAACTGCCAGAACCCCGAGGCCTCTTGGCCTCCCTATCAACTCGCTCATAGCGGCGAACTGACTCTATCTCTCTGGCAATGTCAACCACCTCCTCAAAAGAAGTGCCAGATACCCTCTCTTTGGTCAGAAAAATTTGTAGCTGATATTTGAGGCCATCAACGAACCTCTTGATCCTCTCCCTATCCATGGGAACTAGCTAGATAGCATGACGGGCCAACTCGAAGAATCTTATCTTATACTGCATCACGGTCATATCCTCCCGACGTAACTGCTCGAACTGCCTGCGTAGCTCTTCTCTGTAGGAATGTAGTACATACTTCTTTAGAAAGAGAATGGAGAACGGATGTTAGGTAAGGGTTGCTGCACCAACAGGCCTACGCCTCTCATAAGCCTCTCACCAAGTAAAGGCAGCTCCAGAAAACTGAAAGGTAGTAAATGAGACCCCACTGGTCTCCAGAATACCTGTTGTATGAAGAATCCTCTAATACTTGTCCAAGAAACCATGGGCATCCTTGCCCTCTGCACCACTGAAAGTCAGAGGCTGAAGTCTACCAAATCTCTCCAATCGACGCTGCTCGTCATCGGGCTTGACTGGTACCACAAAATCCTGAGCAATCAGCTGGGCTGGTGGTGCTTCCGGTGTCTGAAGTCCCTGAGCAACTTGCTCAAGTGTACGAGCGGCGGGAGTCTGAGTGTCTCCCCCGGCCTGAGAAGTAGTTGTTGTAGTAGAAACAACGACCGCCTGAGCAAGTTCGGTGCACACGGTCAGGATTTGAGCTAAGGTCTCCTAAAGACCTGGGATAACAATCGGTGCAGCCGGTGCCTGAGGTAGTCCTACTGGAGCATCCAAAACTGGGACCTGATCATGAACTGGGACGTCTGGTGGATTTGCATGTGCTGGCCTAGCTGCTGTGCGGGCTACACCCCTGCCCCTACGATGACCTCGACCTCGAGTGGCCCCAACTGGTGGTACTGGTGGTCGTCCGTCCTGACCGGTAGCACGTGTCCTCACCATATGTGAGAGAATAGAATAACAGAAGTTTAGTACCAGAATCAATAGATTCGCATGACAAGAATTCAAGAATGTAAAGTTTTTCCTAAAGGTTCTGCAGCCTCTCGAAGATAAGTACAGACGTCTCTGTACCGATCCGCAAAACTATACTAAACCTGCTCATGACTCGTGAGACCTATGTAACCTATGCTTTGATACCAACTTGTAACTATCCCAAAACCAACCCAGCCATGATGGTGCCTATCATGTAACTAGACAAGCCGACAAAACAGTTCAACATTTCATTAAAAACTTGATAACAACCCTTTTCAATTGAAATTCCATATAGATATAAAATCGAAAACCAAAATGCGAAAAATAAAAGCCTGACCTCAGGTGTCACTAAGTCATGAGCAATACTACAATTGTACCGAAACATAACAAGGCCAAAATAGTCTGGAAGTAGGAAAATATAAACTAGAAAGGAGATAAAGAAGGAGAAAGGTGGGGCTGCGACAGGCAGCTACCTCGCTATCTCCGATAAAATCCGCGTCTGGAATAGTCAATAGCCGCTACCGTGGCCTGAGATGCCTGGATCTGCACACAAGGTGTAGGGGGTAACGTGAGTACACCAACTCAGTAAGTAACAAGTCCAAACTATGGACTGATAGGTAGTGCGAACTAAACCTCCACAAGTAAACACAATTAAATTGTACAGTAAAGTATGCATGCTTGCAGTTCAAGTATTCAACTCAACAGTAAGTAAATACAAATCTGAACAATATAGAGTATAAAGTTCAGCAAATCTCTACGTACCAATGTACAGAAAGCATGAAAATGTACCATGTTCCTCCACTATCAAGTGCTATAAAGTTCAGCAAATCTCTACGTACCAATGTACAGAAAGCATGAAAATGTACCATGTTCCTCCACTATCAAGTGCTATAAAGTTCAGCAAATCTCTACGTACCAATGTACAGAAAGCATGAAAATGTACCATGTTCCTCCACTATCAAGTGCTCAACCACTCAGTACCGTATATGGACATCCGACCCAGGGAAGATCCATCCCGGAATATATACACATCACTGACACCAGTCACCCAGTGTCGAGGAAGGATATTCCAGCCCTATGGAGAAGATCCATCTCTAGGTATAAGTACTTCGCAAGATCCATGTCCAGGGAAGATCCATCCCTCAAAAATATCAACTGCGCTCACTAGGGGTATGTAGACTCCGGAAGAGCTCCTTTCAGCCCAAACGCTATAACAACCCAACAAAGGTATAATCCATAATCTGCTGCGCGCATGCAGCCTAATCCCATATGTCACTCATAATCAGGCTCTCAGCCTCACTCAGTCATCACTCTCCAGTCTCACACACACGGGCTCAGAATACCATAATACTAGCCCAAAACAATGATATGATGTGCCAAATGATAACAACCGAGACTGAGACATAATATGATATGCATGAACAAGACTGAGTACAAAATATCAATGAAACTAATGAGATGGCAGCAAGAAACGACCACTGGGTCTCAACAGTATTGGCGTAAATCCCTAACATGATAATTAGCAGGATTTATAGTGTTTTTACTTAATCACATAATCACAACACAAATATCAGCAAGAAAGAGTCACTGAGCGGTGCTATGGAATGAACCAGGCCACAATTCTCACGGTGCACGCCCACACGCCCGTCACTTAGCATTGCATCACATCAATACAAATCATATAGAACAATGTTCGTGGTTTCGAACCCTCAGAACCAGGCCTGGAAGTGTTACTTATCTCAAACCAAGCAAAAACTCTAACTCGCGATGCTCCTTTTCATCTTCTATTTTCGGTAGATTTTTCTGGCTTTTGCTATGATCAGTTGAACACCCTTCATCAAAAAATTATATTGTGTATATAGGTAAAATGTTTTTTTATACATATGGTAGAGTTAGAAGCTCGACTATAGGTTCATTCGAATCTAGTAGCTTTTGCTCAAACAGTGTATTTGTGTTAAAAAAATTCACTGAATATAAAAAGGGCAGCCCGTTGTACAAAGCATCCCACATTCACGCAGGGCCGGGGAGGACCACACCCCAAAGAGTGTGATGTAGACAGTCTACCCTTGTGATATAGACAATCTACCCTAATGCAAGCATTAGGGATTGCTTTCATAGCTTGAACCAGTGACCTATAGGTAACACGGAGACAACTTTAGCGTTGCTCCAAGGCTCCCCTTCAAAATCACTAAATATGTACAAATATCAAATTTAGAACCTACTGTAGTTATAAGAACTTGAAATCATGGTTCCCTTCTGACCATAAGTGTAAGTATTGTGCTTCATAGCAAAATTAGGATATGAAAAGCAGAATGCTACAGGCGAATTCAAGATTTTAAGTCAGTAATTGCAAAATACACGCTACACTCGCTTATAATACTAGTCTACTAGCGATTTCTTGATAGCTTCTGATGTTATCAGTCTGAGAACTCCTTTCTTTTATCTCTTTTAGCATATATTGATGATAATATACTAATTTTGGTTAGATTTGGAGCATTCGGAGGCCGAGTCGAGAGGCAAGGGTATCGCGGGTTAGAGTTTGGACCGGTTTGAGGTAAGTAATGATTGTAAATCTTGTCCTGAGGGTATGAAACCCGAATTTCAAGATGTTATTCTTGTTACTGGCGAGGATCGAAAAATCGCTGGGCAGAAAGTATAAAAGGACTCCTTCGCGAATTTTGTCTAATTTCTCCATTTTTAAGACGGGTGTTGAGCTTGGATAGTGATTTCTCAAGAGGGATCAAGGGTTATCAGTTGGATAAGCTACTTAAGCTTTATTATGTGTTTATGATAATTTTTTCATTGTTTAATCATGATATTAGTGGAAATTAGGGAAGAAATTTAGGGGATTAGGGCTTGAAATTGGAGAGTTTAAATTGGAGATTTGAGGGACCATTTGAGGTCCGATTTTGATGTTTTTGGTATGAATAGACTCGGGAATGAAAGGAGTTTGTAGTTTCACAAATTTTGTTGGATTCCGAGACCTGGGTCCAGGGCCAGGTTTGAGCAAATTTGGGATTTTTGGTCTAATTTGATAATTTTCATGTGGGTTTCATTCCTTTAGTGTATATTGATGTTAGCATACTGATTTTGGTTAGATTCAAAGCATTTGGAGGTAGAATCGAGAGACAAGGGCATCGCAAGTTAGACTTTTTGCTTGGTTTGAGGTAAGTAACGCTTCCAAACATGGTTCTGAGGGTTCGAAACCCCCAAATATGTGTTATGTGATTTATATTGAAGTGACACAAATGCCAAGTGAGGGGCGAGTAGGTGTGCATGTTGCGACCAAAACACTCACGCAAGTGTACGCGATCGACAAGTAATATAGTAGTAAGTAAAGTATCGTTCCCACGAGGAATTGTGATCAACTTATCGACTGATGTAGACTCAAACAATTATCAATTCAACACAAAATTATTACACCAATTTCACAATATGTTTATAACAATTTGGATAAATATATTCTCGGGTCATGGACTTGCTAGAAATTATGCTACTATTTTAGCTTAAAATGGATTTATTGAATTATCCGGGTTATTGATTATAGGGTTAATAATATTCATAAGAATCTTTCGAGTTCTTATGCATCTATTCAAGTTAAACTAATACCTATATGTCTATGGTATTAATATTTGCATGAATGTATTTACAATTCCTATTTTTCAACCAAACAAGGCAATTAAGTATATGTCTATCTTAATTGCGAATTCTTCACCCGATGTCCGAGATTCAAAACTTGTTCTATTTGATTCTATATGCAACCAAGAATTTCCTTTTTCAAGTTTAATTCAAGATTCGTAAATAATATTTCACTGTTAGCTACGCAGTAAAATAATTAGAAGCAGAATCAAATAAACAACTCATAACAATAAATTCAATATCTTCAATCTAAGCTTCAAATAACATAATTATCTAACATCCATGACCCAAGAATACTAGAATTTTTAGCTACTCATATTCACATAAAAATCAACAATAAAAGTCTTAAACATAATATAAACAAATAAATAGAAGAGAGTTTAGAAGAACTCTTTGAATCCTTGCTCCAAGATGTTGTTCTCCTTCTCCTTTCTTAGCTCCAAGATAAAGCTCCTCCTTCTTCTATGGCTTTTTCTCCCTCAAAATCTGATCTCTCTTAATAATGGAGCTTTACTTTATGTAAGTTGAGTGGATCCTCTCAGATTTCCCATTTTGCCCCCAAATAATTGATTTCCCGTACTGGACTAGTGCGGGAGCGCATGACCCGCGCTAGTGGGGTTTCTTTCTGTCCAAATCACTGAACTAGCGCGGGAGCGCATGACCAACGCTAGTGGGGTTTTCTCTTGTTAAGATGTTGCTGCTCAACTTTTCGTCATTTGACTTCATTTTTCACTTGATTACCATCATAAATCCTCATTTGTTTATTGAACTCCTGTGAGACATTAAAGTCATGATTNATATTTCAAAATTTCAGCATCATTCCTATGTTAAACCATCTCCAACCTTTTTGAGATTTTACATACTAACAACAAATTCCATTCTCTTCAAGCACCTTAGGTTAGGGAATGTTACTACTGAAAATTCATCCCCTATATATATACATATATACATATATGAATTATTTTTCACTCTTTTTTTGATTTTGTTTTTCAAATAAACCAACCAATCTCTTCTCAACTTCTTCAACATTAAAACAACATTAAGTGCTCATGAGAGATAGAGGTGCAAACAACTAATATATTACATAAATTGGTAAGGTTTATAACGTGGGTGCCAAAGAAATAGGATTAACGGCTCAAAAGGTTTGACTAAGATATATACAATTAGGTGGAAATAATTATCAAACTGGTTCAACAAAGAAATGCTTGTATCATCTCC